ATTAAATTATAGACTGATCATTTCTTTGTCAGTGGGCAACGTACAAAATCAGCATTGGCTCAATACTTTTTTTCCTCACATGTATATGAATAGAAATGTGGTGTACAGCAGTAGTTATAATAGGGTGACCTGATTAAAAAACAGTATATACATATCATGGGTAAAAACAGTATGTAAATATTATTGAAAGTGACCCAGTGATTTCACTGACCTATGTACATCGGGAGGGCAGCAGTCTCTAGCACTGATCTAATTTTTGGGGTTTAGTAAGATTCGTCACTGAGGAGAGGGCTTACAGTAAGACTGCTGGAAACGAAAGCCCCTGGGGAACTACCCTTTCTGGACAGACACGGGAGGCTGGGGGTCCGGGGGCCCACTGAGCCCACAAGTGGGGGGGGACACCCAAGGGCCCCCACGTCCAATCAGGAGAGGGCCCCCAACCCAAAAAACACCGACAAGCCCCGCTGTGGTTTTTAAAAGTTTTCGGCTCCCGGCCTTCCCCACCCCCAAGGGGGGGCCCCGTCCTTTCAGGGGGGCCCACCCCGGGGGAAAGAGGGGGGGGCGGGACAACCAGAAAAAATAACAAAGGGGAAATTTGAGTTAACTTTTTCAGGCCACTTCTCATGAAAGTGTGGGGGAAAAACTTAATAAGAAAGAGTTTGGGGGGGGGGGGGGCCGGGGGGGGGGGGGGGGGGGGGGGGGGGTTTTTTTTTTTGGTTAAATTTTTTTTTTTTTTTGGGTTCCCTTCTGGTTTTTTTTGGGGGGGGGGGGGGGGGGGGGGGGGGGGGTTTTTTTTTTTTTGTTTCAATTTTTCTTTTTTCTTTTTTTTCCCTCTTTATTTTTTTTTTTTTCGGAAAAATTTGTTGTGATTCTTTATAAACTAAAAAGAATGTATGAGGATTTTATGTCGATTGACATTCATTTAATTTTTCCTGAAGGGGAATGGCCCGGGGAAGGGGCATGTGATACATTGATTGCTTCTTGGTCAGATTTGAAGGGGAAGTTTCTCTTGCCCCATTTTAGATTACTCATAGGTTTATTTGGTTTTGGGGGGAAATTTTAATTCAAATAAAAGCTTTTTTATAATTGTTTTCCATTCCCAAAATTATCCCAAATTCCAGTTCCCCTTCTTTTTCCCCCTTCCCTCTCTATTCAAAAAGTAGAGGTATCTGATGGTTTTTTAAAAACAACAAGGATAGGTTTTGTACTTTGTGGATTCCCTTCAACTTTTGTTTTTGTTCCCCCTTCGCATGAGATTTATTGACATACTTACAGGATTAAGATTTTAATTTGGAACTGTTTAATTTTGTAGTGTATTCAAGGTTTAAAAGGGTTTTCATTTTTTTTTCATTTTAAAATTTTCAGAAGATTTGCCCTAACTAAAAAATGTATAACCCTTAAAAAAATGTCCTTTAATTAAAATCCACATTTCCTTTTTGCTAGGATTTTTTCCTCTGTGAAAAAACTGGTCAAATTAAGATTAACTGTAGCATTTTGTTGGGTCCCCAGCACGGTGAAGCCATTAATTTGAAGTCACCCAACCCCATTGTTTTTTCCCAGTGATCCGGACTCACACGTTGTCATTGTCCGGATCTTCTCCTAAATCAGAGGCCCCCCCCAGAGTTTAGGGACAATTTCATTAAAGTTTTTTGGGCAAAACCCTTACCAAGCATTTACAGGTGGCAATTGGGTTTAAAGTGCCTCTCAACGGACATCGACCAATGTTTCCCCTTGTCGGCTTGGGGATCGAACCAGGACTTTAGTTACTGGCCCAACCCCTTTTTAAAAACCCGCTAGGATACCTGCCACCCTGAGCCAGATATAGGATCGTATTATGAAAGGGGTTTTATTAAAGGCATCTTTAAAGAGTTCCAATAGAGAAAGGGGGCTCGACTGTTTTTTCCACATGGCTCTTTTCCTGGTCTCAATCAAGGGCCCAACGGTTTTTTGGCCCCCTTTTTAATGTAGTGCTAGTTTTATTGTAAGTGAGGGGGGAAAATATTTGATCCCCTGTGATTTTGTACGTTTGCCACTGACAAAAAAAATGATCAGTCTAAAATTTTAATGGTAGGTTTTTTTTTGAAAAGTGGAGACAGAATAACAACAAAAAAATCCAGAAAAACCATTCAAAAAATTTTTATAAAATTTATTTCATTTTTATAGGGGAAAAATTTTTTGACCCCCTCTCAAACAAAAAATTTGCCCCGGGGGTTTTTTTTACAGGGGAACGACTAGATTAGGAGACACCTTAAAAAGGTGCTCCTAAACTCATTTTTACTTTATAAAAAACACCTTTCCCCAGAAACAAACAATCAATCAATTTAAATCTCCACCATGGTCAAGACCAAAGAGCTCCCCAGGATGTCAGGGGTAAATTGTAGACCTCACAAGGGGGAATGGGGTACAGACCATCGCCAAGCAGCTTAAATGAGAAGGTGACAACAGTTGGTGCATTATTCGCAATGGAAGAAACACAAAAGAACTGCATTTCCCCCGGCCGGGGGGTCCACAAGATCTCACCCCGGGAGTTCCTGATCATGAAACGGGAGGGGAAACAGCCCCCCCCCCAAAAACCCCGGGAGGATCTGGGCAATGATTAAGGGGCTGGGGCCAATACCAAAAAACAATTGGTAACACACTAGCCGGAAGGACTAAAACCCGCAGCGCCCGCAAGGGGCCCCCTGCTCAGAAAGCAATTAAAAGGCCCCTCTGAGTTTGCCAATGAAATCTGAATGATTAGAGAGAACTGGGGGAAAGTGTTGTGGTTGAAGACCAAAATCACTCTTTGGCATCAACTCAATCCGCTTGTTTGGAGGAGGGGGAAAGCTTGCCTATGACCCCAAACACCCTCCCCCCCGTCAACTGAGTGGGAAAAATTTGCTTTGGGGGTGTTTTTCGTAAGGGGATGTCCGTCAATCTTGGGTGAGAACCTCCTTCCCTCAGCCAGGGGTTAAAAAAGGGGCGTGGGTGGGTATTTCCCAGACCTGACCCAAAAAAAAACGGGCCCAAAGGGAAAAAAAAGTGGCTAAGAAGAAGACATTAAAGGGCCTGGAGTGGCCCAGCCAGTCTCCGACTTAAACCCATAGAAAGTCTGTGGGAGGGAGCTGAAGGTTTGGTTGCGAAACTCAGGGTCGAAAACTTTTAAAACTTGGGAAAAATCTGCAAAGAGGAGTGGGAAAAAATCCCTCCTGGAATTTTTGCAAACCTGGTGGCCAATACAAAAAACGTCTGACCCTTTTGATTTCCAAAAAGGTTTTGCCACCAAATACTAAATCATGTTTTGCAGAGGGGTCAAAAATTATTTTCCCCCATTAAAAAGCAAAAAACAATTTATAATATTTTTGACTTGGGGGTTTTTTTTGGATTTTTGTTTTGTTATTCTTCTCCACTGTTCAATAAACCATAATAAAATATAGAGATCATTTTTGGGCAAACGTACAAAATCACAGGGTCAAAAACTTTTTTCCTCACTTTGTATAGAATAGGAAATTTAAAGGACATTGAGGGTTCCCCTCGGCTTGAGGGGAAACCCCCAAACCATCTTTTTGTGGACTAAGGGACTTGTCTGGGGCAAAGGGGGCCCGGGGTTTTAAGAGGAAAGAAAATTTCCGGGGATTTTCCCCCAAAAATTTTCATCTTCTTTATTTTTCCCCGGGTGGGAAAACCCCCC